AGATGGGCGGCACGCCAGCAAGAACGCGGCGGGATACGGAGGTCCTCCCTATTTCGGATTTCACAGAGGAGTTGCGGAGGTGCCGCGAGATTGGAGAATTGGAGATTGGAGAATTGGAAGGTATTGCGATTTGGGCGATGTGCACAGAAAAATTGATGTGCAGAGACGCAAAGAGCTCGGGATTTTTCTTCACAGTTTTGGGCCTGCGCAAAGGCGGCCCAATTCCAATTATTGGGACCAGGGAAGGGATGGATTTATTCCATGTGTTGGGTCTGTACAACAAGTAGCAGGCTTTGACGTTGATGAGTCCCCGGGCTTCGTCCATTGTCGCACAAGTGTAGCCGACCAGCAGCCGGAGCATCATCGAACGGGCTGGAGTTTCAGTAATTCCCCAGATTTCGAGCCCGACGTGTGCCTTATCTACGACGGTCCGCCAATTTTTGATGATGAGCCTCCGGTGACGAAAACAGGTCCCGTATGGGATGTTGCAATGATTAAGTCTTCGAATGGGAAGCCGTCATTTACACCCGATTTTGTGAGTATTTTGGCCAAAGATGGTTTTTCGGGGCCGAAGCCGATGCCCGATAACTGGTGGGCCATTTTTCGATTGCCTTTCGCGCAGTCTCCCAACAACGGGATGCTTGGCCGTTGTTATGGATTTGAGCGCGACAAACGAGCAGTTACTTCCGTGACCGAGATTCTTTTTACGTTCGAAGTTGTTGTTGGAGGACCTTCAACTTTTGTGTTCGATCGAGGAAAATGTCGGGGGTATTCTTGTCATGGGGACGGCTCCAACGGGAACGGATCGAATTCGAGGCCGAATCCTGCTCAACCGGGGAAGAATGATGAGGATAGTTAATTATTATTATTATTATTATTATTATTATTATTATTATTATTATTATTATTATTATTATTATTATTATTATCTCTTCCTTATCTATTGAGTTGGTTAGGATAATCTTCTATCTTGATTAGAAGAATATTTATTTCTTGTTTATCAAGTTAGGAGTTCTATTAATTATTAGTGTTTGATGGAATAATGGATCAGTTGAATATTGAATGAAATAAGATATCGTGTTTTCTTTTGGGAGAGTATCCCGTGTTTTGGAGAGAGTATCTCCTTGTA